ACAGCAAGAATGAAGTAGACAAAAAAAGTTCGCTAGTATACATACAGAAATCAAAAATGGCAAAAGCAAAGTTTGTGCTCCAAAAAAACGCAATTCTATTCACATCTTTTTTAGTACGGTTGATAGTAGGGCTGTGACAGTTATCAGTTACCGTTACCACCGTTACTCGGTAACTGTAACTGCTGAACAGTTGACGTTCTTGATAACGGTAACGGATAAGCAGTTACCGTACAAGTAACGATAACGACCAGTTACAAGTAATGGTAACTGTTCAGTATATCTTTCAGCAGTCAAATCTCTAGTAATCTAGTATCATCTCCCATATATCTAGGTATCCAGGGCGAGGGTGAGGCTACGAATTTTCACCCTCATCCTGGATACCTAGATATATAGAGATTTGACTGCTGAAAGATATACTGAACAGTTACCATTACTTGTAACTAGTCGTTATCATTACTTGTACGGTAACTGCTTATCCGTTACCGTTATCAAGAACTACTAGAAAGTTTATCTACACTTCTACTTGTCTTTTATTCTAATGATGACAGCAGAGCTGTCGAAATGTCGATGAAATAAATTCACTGTGATTATTACCGGCACCAAAATACAGTGCACACGATTGTTTTCGCAATCACTCAACAGCAATAAGCGCTAGAGACTTGCGGTGTTCAGCAATCCAAAGTAGATACTGGAAGCTAACTTTAAATAGACCAAAACTAGTTTAGAAAAGATTCCGAAAACTGCATTTTTTGAGAATTTTTGAAAAATCAGTTTGGATTTTCGAAAACTAAAATAGCAATCCATTGATTTTTTTTCATAGGTAAATAGACCAAAGTGTCTTCTACAAATTTGGATGTAGGCGACCTCTGGCTTTCGCTTTGTTTTTGGAGAGTCACGGTTTTCCTCGAAGTTATATGACTCCCATTAAATCTGATCTGGGAACGGTGAAAGCACATGGAAACATAGGTTATCGACTATGCTGACTCTTGTGGCAGCATTTATTTTTCAAAAAAGTTTCAAAAGCCTAGTGAAAACGTATATTAGGTGAAATATCTTATTTTTACCTGTTTTTGACTAAAATCAAAAAAATCATAACCCAGTCAGAATGCAATCAAATTATGTTAGAATATCGACATGTACTTTATTTACCTGCTCAATACTATGCAGTTTAACAAAAGCTTTAAAAATCTCTAGAAGATAGGTACTTTGGTTTTTAAAAAGGTTTTATAGAAATCTTCCAGAGTACAAGGATGCTTTTTACTATTCTCAAGTAAAAAATCGTTTAGAGCAGGTAAACTAGAGTACATGTCAATATTCTGACATAATTTGATTGCATTCTGACTGGGTTATGATTTTTTTGATTTTACTCTAAAATAGGTAAAAATGAGATATTTCACCTAATATACATTTTCACTAGGTTTTTGACACTTTTTCGAAAAATAAATGCTGCCACGAGAGTCAGCATAACCGATAAACCACACCCAGTTTTATGGAAGTCATATAGCTTCGAGGAAAACCGTGACTCTTCAAAAACAACGCGAAAGTCAGAGGGATAATAGTAAAACATGATGACATCCACAGACAGCTACACGGACATCCAAACACAGACATCCAAAAAACTGGTCTATTTACCTATGAAAAAGAATCAATGGATTGCTATTTTTGTTTTCGAAAATCCGGGCTGATTTTTCAAAGATTCTCGAAAAATCCAGTTTTTCGAATCTTTTCTAAACTAGGTTTGGCTCATGCAAAGTTAGCTTCACGTGTCTGCTTTCGATTGCTGAAAACCGCAAGTCTCTAGCGCTTATCGCTATTGAGTTATTGCAAAAGCAACCGAGTGTGCTGTATTTTGGCGCCGATAATAGTAAATCATGTTCATAGCAGTTCTTTACTTCACCTCTCGACTATCTAAAATGATGTTTATCATTGACAATTATATTGTGTCATTGTCGCTGTACGATTTTTAAAATAATTCATATAATACTGATATATGTCTGGAGAAGCATAATGTCGAACAATTGTATAATTTTGTTGCACGTAATTATTTTCAGTACCACAGTCCATTAATGACTTGAATGCATTTAAAGATTGTATATTTGTATAATTACCAATAATCCCAATACCTTAATTAGGAAAAAAAACATAAAGTGTCAGACACACAGCAGACATATTTCTAAATAAACAGCTTAAAGAATATTTTTTCGTTTTATACTTACCTAATGCTCGACTATTGTAAGTTAAACAAAATGCTCCAACATATTTCCATCCTCTACCTGTGTAAATTAATTGTTTACTACTATTATCCGCATCATAACCACCACAAATAATAAAATTATATGAAATATCATCGTAGCTACTATTTTCCATATGGTATGTTTGAACTGCTTTTATGTATCGAACACAATCTTGCTGTGTCATACTTGTAATAGAACTAGGTAATGTCTGAACTGCAATATATGAAACCGGTAATTTCAAACTAAAACGACTTTTAGCTGTTGCTGCATTCCAGACACTTCGGCTTAAAATATCTGAACAGCCTATAAATAGAGAATATCGCTATGCCACATTTCATTGAAAAAACGAGCAGCAATTTTTTTTAAAATTGACGTTAAAATTTACTTTTTGGTGAAAGATAGTCATCGTCGTTGCTTTGTAATGGATTTTTTTTAATTGCCAATGTAAATACTACTGTCAGAGTTAAAGCCAAACCAATAATCGATATTAAAATACCAATAAGAATATAAAGACGTTTTCGTCTCGGATGCTTTTCGACGTTTATGTCATTAACCGAGGAAGCGAACGATGGGTCGCCTTCTGAAAAAAGAAACGGAAAATGTATCTCGGAAAAGTTTACGTTCATTATAGTTCAGAAAAGTCACAGTGGTGAATATCAATGGTGCTGCAGCTCTAACTGGTTTTTAATATTGACTGCAACAAATGAAAAAAAGCTTGGAAAGATTTTTCATAGTTCCTCAGATCATTGAAATTCAAACAGGTTTCTTACAAAAAAGAATGAAACAATTTTAGCAAGCCTATCAAGACAAAATCTCCTTCGGATAGACTGACTATTTGTGTTATATTTTCATGAGTTAGAGAATCGATGAGTTTAGAGAATGAATTCGTTTATGTGCATATGAGCCTTTTCTACACAGAGTGCAGATACCATACCAGTCAATAATGGTGATTGAAACTGTCAACTTTTACTCTTCATTGAAATCAGAGATGGCATTTATTAGGCCAGGGAAACCTAATAAGATGATGCAACATTAGGATATTATACTGAGTAAGTTGCGTCATCCGTCTAAAAGTGTCATCACTTTATCTGTTTTATCAACTCTGTACATTACATGCTTCCTGTGTTACATCTTTTCCTTTATCGGAATGGCTGTTGATACCAACCGTGGTGTCAGCAACAGCTATCGACACCACCAAGTGGTGGCAAGAAGAGCCATTAACACCACCGAGTGGTGGCATTAAATAGATACCCGCTGAAAGTGGTAAGAAGAGCTAATGACACCACCAGGCTTAGAGGTGGCAGGAAGAGTTATTGACACTGTCGAAAATACGTTGAACAGTACGAAACGTAATTTAAAGCAATTCATTGAGTGTTTAGAAGCTCTCTAATCCCTGAACGGCGACATTCTCTCCGCTCTCTCTCGTATTGTATATATAGATGATTGTTTTTATAGTTTATATGTGTTATATCAAGTTGATTACATTTGAAACAAAAGATAGTAAAGTACTTGTACAGGATTGTACTTCGAGATATGAAAGAACTAGTTGATTTTTGTTTAACCGTACCAGTTGTGTCGGATCAACTTTTCAATGAACGAAGAACAACATACTGTCGTTCCGAATGACAAAAGAAACGAGAAAAAATTGATAAAAAAGTCGCCGTTCGATCTTCGATGTATCTGTGCGTACACAAAATTATTGCTTTTTGATTCTAACATTTGAAAAAAAAGCTTTTTTTTGTAGGTTTTCTTGGCTTGTACGCCGGAAAACAGCGAAAAAGCCGTTATAGGCTTAAAAAAGTGACGGGGAGTTTTGGAGACAACTGAGCTTAAAGTTTGCCTTTTTCAGAATTACGCAGTATCTTCCAGATCTACAAATTAAGTCTATATTCCATAATTTCTTGACTGTTTGGCAATTTAAAAAATGATGGTTTTTCATTAGTATTGCTAGGATTTCTCAGCGAGTTTATTTGGCTAACTTCAGAGATGGAACCAGAAAAATTGCTTTTTATGTACAAGTCTTTGAGCGCTATGAAATGGTCAAATCAGATTATTTTCAAAACAATTATTTCAGGCAAAAACGGCGGATTTTGAGAGTCATCATTATGCTCATGGTACATGACTTGTAGAGAAAACAAATATAGATTCGTACACAACTCGACACAAACCTAAAATAATGAAAATTTGGCGGTAAGAGATCGATTCTCAGATATTGCGAGATTATTTTCAGGTGCTTTTTGTACTGTTGTTACCTGGATCTTCACATTCTTCTAATTCAATTTCAACTGAAATTGATGCTTGTGGATTATCAATATAATTTTTCGTAATGTTCACGACTTTAAATACAGCAAATGGTAAAATAAGAATTTCTTTTTCTTCTCGTCTACTTGAAAGTTCTTGTAAATCTATGGCTGTTTTATCTTGTTTTATTTTATATTGGCATAAACATGAAAATTGAAGAGGACGTTGATCAAGTGTTTGTCTCATTTTAGATTGTTGACCTTCACCAGCAAAGTATTTGGCCACATTACAATCAACTGATGTAGATAAAAACGATCGATTTAATATATGTTGATTTGATTGATATTGATTTATATCATTTTCTGTTACTCTCATTCCACGGTAACATATGCCTTTGAACTGATATTTAAAAATTTCTGGATTATTAATTAACAGTGTCACAATATGAACGAGACAGTTAACAAGACGATAATTTGAAGAAAAATTTTTTGTCTCGTCGAAATATTGTAGAATATATAATGCTAGATGTTTATTTAATATTCTATAAAAATAATCTGTTAATGTATATGCTTTAATGAAATATGTTAAATAGTCTTTTTCATCTATAGCTTTACGAAAATAATCTTCGATAACTTTAATTTGTTCTTCAGGAACTCGATCTTCAGGATTACCGGTAGACGGCATATTCTTTAAATATTCATTTAAATAATAGTGTATGACTTCAGCTAATAATTTTGATACTATTGGATGATGATTATCATACGATCTATATAAATGAATAATTTCTCGAAATTCTCGTCGTTTTTTAATTAAATCATCACCGGTTATTGACCATTGAATCTGATCATAATCTGTTTCAGAATAAAATATTCGTTTATTTATAAATAATTGTTTGATCTCATCTGTATATGCTTCTTCATATGGTGTTAAATTATGTCGGAAATTTCTAATTGAAGGCAATGCGCCATAATCTAATAAAATTTGTACCAATTCTTTATGGCCATAATAACATGCAACATGTAAACTTGTTGAACCAGTTGGATGTTTAATTGTATTCAAAATATTGATATCATCGATTGTTGTTAATAAATTTTGAACTTTATCAATTTGATTTTGTCTACAGAAATCGTATAGTATATCAGCAGCCGATTCTTTATCACTTGATTGTTCTGGTAACGATGATGTCATTTAAAATTAGTTTGAGTTAGTAATAATTTGATAAATATATTATAAAAAAGAATTCAACTTTTATGTACTGTGACTTTATTTAAGCATGATGGAACGATTAATGTTAAATGACGTTATTGTTTATTTTTATTTTTTCCTAATAAATTATCATGATAATTCTAATAAAGTTCGAAAAATCGACATGTTAGAAAAAAAGATACTTGTTTACAACCGTTGTGTTATTTTAATATTGAAAAAACATGATTTCTTCTTCATTCATTTTATTGCACATACATCTAAACGGAAGTGATGTTTGTGTAAATATTTAATGAAAAATATAAGAAAGTTTACATCAAGTATGTGTTGAATATGAATATCACTAAAGTAGGGAAAAAAAGTGAGTCATTTTTATTTCACATCTATACTAATATACTGTGCGAAGTTGTGTAAGAGCAGAAAAAAATTAAAAAAGTTTTTTCTCTTTTTTTGTTTACTGATATAGTATACAAGCATTTCAACAAAAAAAAAAAGAAGGTGAAAACTAGACTCCTGTTCTACGTGTTCATAATGACCAAATACCGGACGGTACTAATGGTTTTGTCGGCGGTAAACTAAACGGTGACCGCGGTTATCGTGCGATAATTTCGGCTTTACTACCGATATAGCGACTGGGGTATTGAATAGTAACCGAGCGGTACTATTTAAGTTTTGAGGACATAGCATATATTCTGCCATATCGTTATTTAGCCGTGAATTGGAAAAAAATCTTATGAGTAACCATGCCTAACTCTTTCTCTTTAAAGCTGGAAAAAACCTTGCAGATAATCAACCATGACTGCTCGCCCACTTAGTAAACACCTGTGTTTTTCTTCTTTCACATTTTTTCATGATGATTTTGTTTTCGTCGGTCAGGGAGTTATTTGTCTTTTTTCTGTTCTTTTTCTCTAGGATATACAGCACTGCAGACACATTCGCCCACTTATACCACTCTTCCTTCTTCATGCCACTGATGTTGGCTATAGAGTGAGCGTCATAGCAGCGTCATCGACTTCAAATTTACTTCTTTCAAACATGTGTGTCATAAACAGAAGCTATTGATGTAGAAGAAGCTATTCGAGTTCTTCGATTTTTTTGGTAAAAATTATGATTTTTCAACGCGAAAATTCGAAAAATCAAAGTATTCGGATAGGATAGAAATACACATCAGTCAACTCAGTTTTTGCTTCTCATTCCGAATATGATATTTGTTTTGTATATGGTATTGAGTTCTGTTGGCGAAAAGTGAGAATTACGAGCAGAATTCCGATCTTTTCACCTCTAATTTAGAAAAAATGATTTTTTAAAACAAAGAAAACAACAAGAAAAAAGCGAAAGAAAAGCGACTTTTGTGACTGGTTGTATGATGAGTCAAACGAGATAAAATATTTCACTTCCTCGCTTAACCAGAAAAACTAGATAGGTTTACAAAAATGAACTATAAGCGGACCCGGCTCGAGTCGCCACCATCAAAAGGCTTTTGAACCGATTAAACATTATGTCTATACTCAGTTTTTAACGCTCAATCCGAAAAAGATAGTCTCTTATGCTGAAGAAAGAGTAAAACAGAAAACTTGGCATATTTTCAAAAATTATGTCTTTTCGAAAACAACGGTCCTCTTCACGTTTTTTCAACCTGAAAAAATGTTTCCACAAGCTACCAGCCAGTTTTCATTACTCAGTTGCTCATGCTCTATTGAACCATATATAAACTTTTACTTGAAGTTCGAATTGCCTGCACCTTACTTATTATCTAGAAACATTAAAAGATACTAAAATAATCAAAGTAAATGTGCAGGACTGCGATGCTGATAGTTGTTAACATACAAGTACTGCAATGCTTTGACTCGGCACGCATTCACGGTACAAGTAAACATGCATTATAGAGAGATTTTACTTTTTTACTCAAGAGTAGGATATCACAAAAAAGAACAAAAGACTGGTGGCATCCGTGGATAGCCCCTGTGATAACCTAAAACTAAAAATTTAAAAATATAAAAAAGTAAACAAAATAGCATTATTAAAAGCCTGTGTAACCTCTCAGCATATCTTTAAATGTGACTAAAGAAGTTTGACAGGCTAAAACAAAAGGTAGTTCATTCCAATCTTTTGATGTTCGCAGAAGAAAAGAGCTAGATGCAGATTTTGATATTAAACATGGAATTAACATGCGACTGTCATGGCCAAATCGAGAACTTTGACGCATCGTTAATCGTGAAATCAGATCAAAAGAGGAGAGAGGACTTTTATGATTGAAAATTTTATAGAAATAGAGAAGGCGATAATACAGACGTCTGTTTGAAAGCGGTTGAATTTTAAATTCTAAATACAGAAGAAGAGGAACTACTAAAATCTTGTGAAATGATCCTACTAGCAAGGCGCTGAGTTTTATCCAAAATCTCAAGATGAGAAGTAAAAGTGGAATCGTAGATAACACGACCGTATTCAAGCACTGTTCTCACACAAGTTTTATACAGATGACAACGAAGAAATGAAGGCGAGTCACGAAAGACTCTTCAGATAGAGCGTAACATTTGACGAGATTTCATTGAAACACATTTAATGTGCGCCTTCCACGTTAAATTATATGAAATAATCATGCCAAGAAGCTTAAGAGACGAAACTCTTTCTATATCAACGTTGTTTATTGAAAGAGTGAGTGAAGGAAGCATTTTAGTAGAATTTGAAAATAAAATCCAGAGACATTTGTTTATGTTTAATTTGACCTCATTCGTATCACATCAGAGAATAAGCTCACTGATACATTTTTGAGCCTCGGATATGCTTGTAACACAGAAGACATCGTCAGCAAACAAACAAGAAAGTAGAGAAGATTTGAGAAATGGTGCAAGATCATTTATAAATATGAAAAATAAAATCGAGCCAAGAATACTGCCTTGAGGAACTCCAGACGACATTCGAACAGAAGAAGAAGAAACAGAGCCCATAGAAACTTTTTGTGTACGATTTGAAAGATATGAAGCGAATAATTTCAAAAGACTTCCGACTACTCCTGCTTTAGCCAGTTTTTGTAGTAGAATATGATGTGGTACAGTGTCGAATGCCTTTTCAAATTCAAATGATATGCCAATTAATTTGCACTTTTTTTCCAGATGCTGGTAAACCTTTTGAGTGAGAAGAAGCGCATCTACGGATTGTGTGGAATAAGTAATAAAAAGCTATATAATAAATATATAGAATAAGATAAACAGAGAGCAATAAACACATGTAATAATGTTACGATATGATGAACATACCAGAGCCAGGTATAATAAATATGTGCTCTATAAGATATGTTGATTTGCTCGTAAAAAACCTAAACTTCTGAATTAATACTTCTTTAACAACATGTAGCAACAAATGACAGCAAGACAGTCAGAAGTAAATGTTAGCTCATTGACGCATTATTCTTGAACTGCATATAGAAATAATAAAACTAGTTGTGGAAGGAATAAAAGTATCTAGAGTACGTCTGATGTGCATAAAGTACAAGTATTGATCTCAAGTACATATATTACTATTTTGTACTTAAATAGTACGAAAAGTACAAGTATCCATGCTGTGCTTGCAAATAGCAGAGTATTCTAACATTTCAAAGATAGTATGGCATAGTGGCTATGTTGTTTGTCACCTACTTCAAATGTACTATGTTCGAACCTCGGTCCCATTAGATCGTGTAATAATCTTGGACCAAGTTACTTATGTCCTAGTGCTTCAGATCACCCATCCGATAACATACTATCTTGTAACGTACATTACAGTTCCTCTAGTTAGTCTTCGTGACTTATCAGGAACTTAGTACGTAATTAGTAAGTGCATATGGAGAACTCAAGCAAGTAGGCGAAAGACCACTGCATCAGACTAGTATTCGGGCCAAAGCTTCAGTTGATAACTGGTAACAATATAGCTGACCATGTTAGAAACTTGTTAAGCCACATTCACACGACACATTTTAACTTAGTTTAATCCTAATCTTTCCAGTCTTGTCCCGTGTGAATGCACCCAGTTTGTTAACGTAGTTTAAGAACTCAGTTTGGCAATTTACCAACTTGGTTAAGTTAACCAAGTTTATCGAACTCGGTTAAGGATCTCTACTGAACACCGATCAATCAGTGATTAGCTACATCTTTTACACATGCGTTATGATCAAATAACTTATACACATATGCAGTTCGAAGCGCATTTGCAGCTCATACATCGTCCCGCAAATTATTCGAGAAGGTAATTTTCAGTATTTTCACGTTGATCAATCCCCAGGAGCGTCTGAACGGTGTCATTTCGAACTCGGTTAGGATTTGAATTAAACAAAGTTAAAAAGTGTCGTGTGAACGTGGCTTTAGCTGTAGAGAAGATGACATCTTCTCTAGCCCAACAGACGGGCTATTGAAACTGACACTTGTCAGTATCCTACGCTATGGGGTATTCTTAACATTTCAAGTCTCCTAAAAAGGGTTATATCATTTATGAAATTTTCATACTACTTTAAGAGTACTTTAAGTGTACTCTGGCAAAATGCCAGAATTTTGGTATTCTAGTATTTTAATGTATTTTTAGCTATAACAAATGGCCGTTATGCATTGATTGGAGTCGATATTCGTGATTCAATGACACTGAATACACTTTTACATAGTGTACATGTCAATGATTTAAAGCCAACGTTGTGTATAAGTGAAGTGGTTTTAACGTATATGGGTATGAGGAGTTGTAACAGAGTTATACAATGGATACAAGAAGTATTTCAGGAATGTATTCTGTGTACATATGAACAAGTAAGTGTAATATTTCTTCAATACCGAATAAAATTGTTTCTTACTGGTTTAGGTCATTCCTGATGATGGATTTGGTCAAGTGATGGTGGGTCATTTTTCCAAATTAGGTTCACCATTAAAATGTATTCATACATATCCATCAGCTGAAAGTCATGTAGAAAGATATACACAACTGGTATGTCCTTTTACTCAATTCTTTCAACAAAATAGTCTCGCGTTGTGTTTTACAGGGTTTTGATTTATCAATATGCATCAATATGCATTCGTTTAATTTGTATCATTTGCCATCTACAGAGCATTCTCGCATATCATCGTTAGAATTATTTGATGAAACTGAAGAATGGCAATCGAAATGTGCTCATTACATTCTTTTATTTGGAATTAGATCATCCACCGCTAATAAATGGCTAGAGATTATATCTGATGATTGTCAAAAACACATTGTTCATGCTCTTAAAACTAATCTTACGTCCACAACACTTGCCCGTAAACTTGATCATCCAACAGTGTTAACCTTTGAACCGTACAAATTGACATCCAATGGAAAATATGCACAACGTTTTGGACACCAGTCATTGTTAATTGATCGTGATATTTGGACTATTGGTGGATTTGGTGCCATTGATGGTAGACATCGACGATTAAAAACAATTGAATTACTAAATATTGACAATGGAATAACACAACGATTAGACAATCATAAATTAGGTATAGGCTTCGTTTATCATCTCATTAAGAGACCTAAATAAATCAATTTTAGATGAATGTGTATTTCATACGTGTCATATTTATCCCGCTACAAGACAAATTCTTTGTTTTTATGGTCGAACAAATCCCCGTTTATTAAATTCTTGTATAAAATTTGATATAGACTGTATGTACGTTAAAATACAATATCCTAATTTGTTATACATTAAAATATCTTTTCTAAACAGCTTCTCTAACAAGTCCGCTTTCAAACGAGAATTCAGTTGAAAGTGTTGGTCGTTGGCGGCATTGTTCATGTTATGTTGAAGAGACAGATATAATTGTGATATTTGGAGGAAAATTATCTGTCACACAATCGACAAATGAAACAATTTGTTTTACTCGAGATGGAAAAATGATCCGTCAAGAAGTGAGGAAATAATTTGAGTGATAAAACAAGTTGAGTTTTATACTCTCATTGTTTTACTTTAGTTTTCATCTTCACAAAATAGCGTTCCATCTGCTCGTCATTCGTCTCGTATGTGTTCCTATAAACACTATGCAGTGTTAAGCGGTGGTTTATTAGAAAATGAATTACCCACAAATGAAATATGGCTATTCGATACGAAACAAATGCAATGGACACTATTTCAGACCGATCTATCAACCATTGTTCCAAGGTTGAAAAGAAAAAAGATTATATGAAATTCAGTTCTTTGCAGCTTCGTGTATGTTTTGTTTAGATATTCTCATAGTGCACATATTATTGGTGATATGATGCTGTTATTAGGCGGAATGAATGCTCATAGAAGATATCCACCTGGTCTATGTAAAATTAATTTATGCGATGGAAACGTCATTGAATATGAAATACCGGTCAGTACAGGCATACATTACTCTCTCACTCACTATCCATAGTACTAAGATCAAATCATACATGCTGATAATACTTTGCAACCACCGTGTTTTAGACGACATGTGGCAATGGCCCAATATTGTTGTATAATCATCAGGCTATTCTACTCGATAACTTTACATTTATTATATTAGGTGGTGGAGGCAATTGCTTTTCATTCGGTAGGATTTCACAACAATGTTTATCCCCTTTGTACTCACGTTTTCGTCTTTTTTTATTAAGGTGCACACATTAATCAAGCAGCAATACTTAGATTTGGAGAGATTTTTACTTGACAACCATCGTTTAGTATATTTTTATTTTTCGGTATTTTTGGCAAGCTTTTTCTGTATGTTTTTATTGTATCAAGTTTCTTCCTGCTGACAAAAACAAGATAAATGATTTAAACTTATTTAAGTTAGACAATTGATCTATGAATACTTGAACATGAAATTACTAAAAGAGTCAGTTCAAGTATAATGATGATATGAGATCATTGTTTCTGCTATTTTCTACATCTATTGTTCATTATAGAGTCTAATTTTTAGTTACAGCTGCAACGGTTGAACAATCGAGAGATAACACCAACGATCCGTTTTATTTTATAAACCTGATCGATTTCAAATTCTTCTTCGGCGGTTAACAAAACTTTTTTTTCAAAGCAGTCATTTTCAGAAAGCAATTTATTATCTGGGATAATTCCCTCATCAGCTTAGTCTCTACAGCACAATTTCCGGGTGACAGAGGAGGGCATATTATGCATCCAGCCAGATATCTAGCAAACAAATCAGAGTGATGTGTTTTATAATCTAGGTATAGAAAAAGCCTGACAATTTTCCAGACTAACTTACTTTTCGCAGACCTGTGATCAGTGTAGGTAGTTTCCGGAGTTCGAAACTTTGCAAAAATATGTATAATAAAATTTAATCTGTAGTCAAAAGTTTAAACTTTAGTTTAAAGGTAAAATTTATCTTTAGTCCACGAACACACTTAGGCAAAGATGAGATCACATTCGGAATCAGGACGTCAAGTTGCATCGAACCATATATAACACAATAAGTCTTGGATTCAATAATTATTCATCGAGTTTTTACCCATGTATCAGCCAGCAAGAAAATGCTCACAGTAAGGAAGCGAAATAAGAGAAAGTGCAAAAAGCAGCGGTAATCCAAAAGAATCTCTCTTCAGCCTTCACTGTTCCTTCTTACGTTTCACAATAAAAATGCATCATTTTAGACTTATTTTCCAACCTAAAATCTGCAAAAACACATGCATGAAATCTGTAAGAACAGTAGTGGAAATTATACGAACAGTTTTCTGTTTGCAAACGCATGTATACAATATGTGTTGCATAGATATTGAGAAGAAATGAAATAGAAAAAAAGTCTGCCAGGAATGGGGATCGAACCCATGCTCACTATTGTGAATTGGATCTTAAGTCCAACGCCTTAACCACTCGGCCATCCTGGCTACGTCTAATCATTACGAAAAACCGGACGTCGTTTCATTAACTATTTTACAGAACCTTTAAGAGGAATATATTCAAAGTGACCGAAGAAGCGTCTGTTCAAAACTCAGAACCATACGAGAACCTTGTTCCACATGACCTTTGTGGGAGTGCTGAGGGTCAGAGATGCGCACCGTGACCCGATCTAAAGGTCGGGTACGGACATGCAGTTGTCGGGTACGGGTTCCGTTTTTTTACAATTCATCCAAAAAACGGAAGGTTTTAATTTAAACCATGAAATTTTCGTGAAAAAATGTATGAAGTTTTAAAAGAGTTACCTGAGAATGTAATGATAATTCGACATCTTCAGCAGAAGAACAAAAGCTTTTCACTGAAAACAGAAAAGAAGAAAATTTTAAGTATAATTCGGGTATGGATGAAAAATAAATTTCCAAGTCCTCTACGGGTCGGAAAACGGTAGCCGTGCACATCTCTGTTAGGGGCTTTTACTTCTCTCATCAAGTACTGTGAAAGCTATTAGGTGAGATGTTTGCTGTTTATACGTCATGTAATACCGGGTGGACCTACGTGAAAGTGTCTCATATTGATAAAACCACCACACAACTCTGAAGGTGTCTTAAGTCGATACTTCACTGCTTAGTTAAAAAGTCTGCCAGGAATGGGGATCGAACCCATGCTCACTATTGTGAATTGGATCTTAAGTCCAACGCCTTAACCACTCGGCCATCCTGGCTACGTCTAATCATTACGAAAAACCGGACGTCGTTTCATTAACCATTTTGCAGAATGAATAATATATTCAAAGTGACCGAAGAAGTGTCTGTTCAAAACTAAGAACCATACGAGAATCTTGTTCCACATGACCTTTATGGGAGAGCTAAGAGCTGGAGATGCGGGTTCCGTTTGTTTAATTTAGTTGGAAAAGCGGCATGATTCATAATGTATGTCGTTTCTATTTTGGATTTTGTTGGCTTTAATGGAAAACTTATGTAACGGTACATTAATATGTTGTCAGGCTATTTTATGTTTATACATTTTCTTATGATCCTTTGCAGTTCTTCGTGAATAAGACTGTATATAATCTGCTTGAATGTTCCCATTAACTTACTACTCCGTATAATCTCATTTTGTATTAGGTCTGACCTTAGGCTAAGGAACAAACGACTCCAGTGTATTAAGTAAAGTATTTATTAAGGAGAAATATATCACATGTCCTCGACTTTTATAGATTACGGTGTAGTAGACTCATTACGGAGTAATTACGAAAAATTACGAAAATGGTGGATTTTAATTACATCATAATGGAATCGTAGTCTCGCTAGAAATGCGCCCTTAACTACGATCGTAATTAAGTGTCATTATGCCATAATTCAATCGTAATTTAAAATATGCACTTCCATTATTATGCACTTCCAAGTTCACTTTCTTGCTTCATTCTCGCAGCTTCGCGAAATTCGTAATTCGCGATTATGAAACGACAATAGCGACGTCGCGACCCAAGCGCGATCACTCTAAGAAAAAACTGTTACGTCGCGATCGCATTTTCCTCTTACAATGGCGATATGATACCAGCAGCCTTTGTTTTGTATGAAGAAGTAGTAGATCTAATACAAAATGATATCATTCTTCGTCAACAACTAACGAGGATGCTCTCATCTGATTCTACTCTGGCAAGTTTATAATTATGAGAAAAAGAAATGGATAAGAGTGGTGGTCAGAGCTACAGAATCTGCCTGTCTGCTACAACGGTCGTCAGGGGAAAATTTATTGATTCGGGGAAATTTTTCGAAAAATTGGAATTTCTTTTTGTAAATATTTTGTAAAAAGAAATTCTGTTGGGGAATTTTTTGACAAACTTTTACCGTTGGGGAAAATTTCCCAGTCTCACAGACCTCTGGTGGTAGTCGAAAAACGCGATCGCCTCATGACTAATATAAGTCTCGCGAGATTCAACCACGTTCGTGGTAAGAGTGATGTGAGTCATCTATTGCCAGTGGACGCAAAACACGAATAAATAGCGACCGCGGTAAAATATCCGAGAATAAAGACGTTCTTTGTATGAGTGTGAAAAATTCGTGATCGCCAGAAATCGCGCTCGCGTATGATCCTGAGTTTTGAACAGACACTTCTTCGGTCACTTTGAATATATTATTCATTCTGCAAAATGGTTAATGAAACGACGTCCGGTTTTTCGTAATGATTAGACGTAGCCAGGATGGCCGAGTGGTTAAGGCGTTGGACTTAAGATCCAATTCACAATAGTGAGCATGGGTTCGATCCCCATTCCTGGCAGACTTTTTAACTAAGCAGTGAAGTATCGACTTAAGACACCTTCAGAGTTGTGTGGTGGTTTTATCAATATGAGACACTTTCACGTAGGTCCACCCGGTATTACATGACGTATAAACAGCAAACATCTCACCTAATAGCTTTCACAGTACTTGATGAGAGAAGTAAAAGCCCCTAACAGAGATGTGCACGGCTACCGTTTTCCGACCCGTAGAGGACTTGGAAATTTATTTTTCATCCATACCCGAATTATACTAGTTTATAAAATGGTTGATAGAATTTGTCACTTTACTGGCTCGTGTCACTTTGATGACTCAGGTTTTAAAACTCTGATGAAGAATTCTTGAAATTCTAATTTCGCGAGTTTTACAGCGAACGTGTTACGCGATTCCACCACGATTTTTTGAAGAGACTCGCGACATGCGGTAAGACAGTGGACTGGGTGACCTTCTTTTTTACTGACACTCTAAGGAAATTCTGACGTTCAAGAACTCTTCACCAGAGTTTTAAAACCTGAGTCATTAAAAGATGGTTTAAGGGCGTATTTGCTAAGAGTTTCAAACGACACGAATAACTCTTGAATGAACTATGAGTTGTTCAGTTTCCCGTGAGGATGAGTAAAATTGTGTTTTTTCAGCCAAGCTAAATTTTTACAAAGGTTTCAGTTAAATACAATTAAAAACAGTAATGGAGTTCATTGTTCCCACTAAATGGACAGTTCCAGGACTGTGGCTATAGAGAGGGTGTGGGGCAGTGTACACTCTTCTGCTTTTGGGATTCCTTACTTTCTCCTGCTCGTTATGTTACTGCCAGAGTTTTGTACCAAAGTCTTTGGGAGTTAAAACTTTTTTTATCTTTCCCCCGTAATCTTTTGCCTTTCTCCTAAGAATTTACGCCCTCTCTGTTGTTTTATCTCGCCACGGCCCTGGACAGTCTTACTCGTTTCATATAGGATTCCTCAACACAACAAATATCTGAATATAATATTGAGAAAAGAGTAAAAGATGCCGTAAATCTACTGACACTTTCAATTCGAAACAATTTCTGTTAATTATCATAAGAAACCAATCATGCATATGGAGAAATTTCGAAACGACATAGAAAAGAATTTTAAAAACCGTTTTCGAAGGACATCGCTATACTCCAGCGAACTCGTTTTGCTATTTTCTCATTGGTACACATTTCACCGTTCATATTTCATCGATTCTGCTGATTTTTATGATGGCATCAGGAATGAGAGGTACTGAAGTGTTCAAAGCTTGAGATCTGTCTTATGTACGACGTTCTCAGCAAAGAATAGAAGTTGTTTTTTCTATGTCTTTTCGATACTGAAACCGTGTGTATCTACAAACTTCCAGATTACCATACACATTTGGCTTCCAAGCGTTTCTAAATGACAGAATGTACTCTTGTAAACAAAGTACGTTTAATATCTCATTCAAAGAGTAAAGTGCAGTGTATACGCCCTGAAATGTAATAGTGAACGGTCAGATAACAGAGGCTGTATTTTTCGTGTTATATAAGAGTGTATGTTTATTCTCTAGAAACATATAATTATCTGTTTCCTTGTTATTCGAAAAAGGTCTTCACAACAAAAGCTGGTGGTATTTTTAAACGCTTTTTTTGTAGAACTTTGTGGAAAAATCCCAGTGTATCAACACATTGCACCCAGAAGCACAGTGCGCGTGTCCAAAAAAAATCTCACAAGAAACATATCGACTTCTAATATGGAGAAATCTTGTTTTCGGGCGCATTTGTCATTGATGCTTTGACTACTAGAGATTCTATGTTCTCCTTACCTGTAATTAGTTTTTGGTCTATTTTCAAACTGAAGCTCCTTTTTCCCCTCTGTTTTTAAACTATTTTAACACATCACTAGGCGTTAGATACAAGAAAAAGTAAATTTTACACTTATGAATATGACAATACTGCCAACAGGAGTAACAACAACACCCAATAATTTGCGTGATGCTATAAATAGAAGCATCATTAAGCATCGGTGTCAGTCAGAGTGAGTTAATAGACAGTGAGTAGGAATAAACTAGTCTTGTCTTCAGCTGACAATCTTTATCTATTGAAAGAGTAAAACGAGATACTTTGAACGAAATAAATGGATTTCTAATATTTATTTCGTCCTGATGCTCTCGAAAAGTAAAGACATAGTTAACCATCAAATGAGCTTTATTGTGGTTATTTGGTCACCTTTACTTTGTGATTGTCACACGTATATGATACCGAATATCGACTTTTCAAAAAAAGTTAGATTGTGAAACTTTTCTTTTTCGTCAGACAAACTGAATAGAGAAGTTGAATATATCTTGCACAGCCTTTTCAGTTGATACAAGGCAAGAATAGTTGATTTTTTTTGTTTCGTGTTAGAATCGATTCGATGAGCCCGCATTCTCATTTTGGGAGTTTCGTCGCTTAAGCAGTTTGTAAATCAGAGCATCCAAACGCTGATTTCAAAAATGGGTAATAGCGTGACCATAGACATATACAACAGTAATGACCAGCTCAGATAAAATGAAAAAGTTAGTGTCTCGGCACTCTAGATTTCCAGCCTTAAAAACAATGTGGTTTCAGGTTAATGTTTGGCGTTTTACACGGAGTCTATTATGCAAAAATTAGAGATAGCACCCAAGCCATATTTTATCGTGATCTTTATCGACTTGCCAATGATCTTAAGCCGCTCTCCACAGAAAAAATGTTTTTCTAGAACTACACAAATTTTGTAATCGCTGCTGTATACACGAGCCAGTAAAGTGACAAATTCTATCAACCATTTTATAGACTAGTACATGTCTCCTCCTTTGTTTCTAGCGCTAACATTTTGATATGATTCAGCACTAAATGAAAAGTAGAGTCTTCAACAAACTATATGTTTAACATTAATCACGTTCGAACATTTTCATCAGTCATTAAATACTTGAGTGCATGTCATAACTTTACAACGCCATCAAAGATTCGTTTCCATTAATAATTTTAGCGTGGCTAACACAAAAACCTTTCTTTCTCTTGAACGAATCTGAGTCAGCATAGTTTCCTTTAGTTGTTTCAAAAACAAGGGTTTTTTATATTCTGTTTTTTAACACTGAAAGCAACGGCTTGAGTAAAGTTGCAGTTGAATGTTTCTTTGTTGTTCAGAAGTGGCGGAGCGCTCCATTAGTCATAGGTGCTCAACTTTTTTTCTGAAGGCTTCCGTCCTACGTTAACGTACAGGTGCATACTCAGCATTTCAGAGAAGGAGAGTGGTTCTGTCAAAAAAATTTTCGTTCTTCCAGAAAATGTTTTTTTGAAGAAAGAAAGAAAATCGTTTTCGGACTGCGTGAACGCGACGCGCAAGTGACTGTAATTTTTTCCTTGTTCATTAATCTTTTGCCTGGCGAAACCTGGCAAAAAGACCACATGACAAATTTTATGTGAGAAGACAATACGCTCCCCTCCCCTAGTAGGTACACTCCTGTTAACGTAGGATAGAAACTGGGACAACCTTACTTTCTCTTTGCTTTTATAATCTGATTTTATTTGTTTAACAAAGCTCATAATGATTCTTATCAACATATTTAATTACATATGTGTTTAGTTCTGAAGTAGCAGCTTTAAAGACTATTATATAAATCTATAAAATCGTAACAAAGCACAAACACGACGATGGCTCCTATATTAATGTTTAAAATATTTATTCGTTTAGATTTTAGAGAGAAAACTCAATAAGGATTGATATTAGGAAGCCGTAACAGTGCGGTGGTAAGCGATAAAGTACTACCCCCCCCCCGTAATAGAAGCCCCGGGGGCTTCTAAACTGTCCAAGCGTTTAATATTTGTAGGGGGTCTTCTAATAGGTACCACTATTTTTCAAGGATTTCACGTACAAAAATTTTGTAACAACTTTTAGGATTTTCCAGAGCTTTTCGAAGGGATTTCTAGATTCTCATGCTGATATGTAAAATTTAAACGCGTTTTTACCTTAAAATCCTGAAAATTTGACAGTTTTTATTTTAGAAATACTAATAAAACTTTTCGAAAATTTTAAAATTTTTTTCACATGATGGGGGCTTCTAATACATTTTTCACATCGACCCCTCCAAGGGGGGGGGGCTTCTGTTTCGGGGAGGGGTTTATTTCACACAGTTATGCATGATTCGCAGATGTCGCACAGAAAAACAATTATGGATTCGCTAAAATGAGTAAGAATTGTTTAATTTAATTTTGCCGGTGAAGGTAAAGATATAAGGCACTGTTTAACGTACAACTATTTTCAGAAGAATAGTTATCTCTTTATCTCACTACTGTCCTCACAGGTCCCATTCATTTGTGTTGATCCTAACTTGGTTAGACAGTTCGCCAGGAATACTTTGCAATCGTCTATTTTAGTATATTTCTCATTCAGTTTCAAAATAAATGCACGAAACAACGATCAAGATCGGCAGTTTTATATATACTTACACTATTTCCAGTGATTGTTTATCACCTGTTATTTTGAACTGAAAGTGTTTTTGAGTTTTCGAAGGAGTCAGTTTCTGAATCAGTGAAATAATTCTGTGAATTACTAACTATTATTGTCATAATTCTGTAATGGTACGTTACTTTCGAGTTTCAAGGTATTTCATAGGATGAACTTCGATAACATTATAGGCGATGTTCGATATAGCGGAAAAGTGTTTTCTGTATCAATAAGTACTAATACTTCCCAACGCACGGAGTTCTCACAACGTATAATGAATAAAACGCGTAATTATTTTCGGAAATAATATATGAATTCAATATTCTCTTTTGTTGTTTACTCTATTATTCAGAAAGTTGGCGACGGATGCTCTCTGTGAGTGTATCAGTTTAATCATTACGTTTCTTAACATGTTTGGCTGTACGAAAATTTTTATTATGCGTGCACTTTGAAGTTTGTTGTGGTTTTTTTTCTAGATGAGCGAGAAAGAGATTCATAAGTTTGAAGGTTGTTGTCCTTTGACTAAGTTTGGAATTTATGGAATTAAAAAAAGGTATGTGAAACTAGAGTATCTAGTCCGTTAAGAAGGTTATTTCCAATTTTTCATTCTAGTTTCAATGTTCCGAATATGCCATGTCGTGAAGATAGTGATGAACATTTACAGTTAAAGAAGCATATGATGTACAAACATAATTTATCGAATGTGGCTTGTAATAAAATTATTTTATCTCTCATGGCGGAAAAATCATCAAAGACGAAGAAAACAAAACAACAACGCGTTCAAAATCTACAATTTCACTCATGTCAAGAATTATTTAGTCACTCATTGCATTGGCATAAAGGCCGATGTCCATTTTCATTTGGATTTGCAAATGTATTTAATTTAACTGAACAACATCATCATATTAAACATTTTTTATGTAAACAAAATGCAAAACCATGTCTACTATTATCACATTTGAGGTAGAAATAGTAAAAAAATAACCAATAGTAGTACATCTCATTATCATATACTATTTTGATTTTAGAGTATGTCATAATTTAAATATGAGATGTGCAAAGAAAATTGTTAATGCAATGATGTCATCTTCTTTATCAACATCCTCGCGCAAAAATTCATTGGCCAATGATATTCGGGAAATTATTTTATTTCAAAAAAATGATCATGTTTTAAATTCAAATCCAAATATTTATAATGATGATAGACGTTTTCGACATTATTGTCCATTAACAACTGATACAACATATGAAAATAATTTACTCAATGTACCATGTACAAAAATTAGTGAAAAATTTTTATTATTTGCACATTTACAGTAAGAGTAAAAATTAGCTACAAAATGATAAAAATTATACTGAAGGAACGACATCGACTATGAATTGAGAGCATCACTTTCAGCTGATGGGTGCGCCAGAGAAAATGAGCCCGTCAGTATTTTTCATTTTTCTCGTGTTCCTTAAAGACCTTAAGGTTTATGGTTTTTCTGAAAGATACGCTGCGAAATACTCTACAAAATCATACCTAAACTTTAATTTCAGAGCTTTAATCAAGAAAACTAAGCAAATTATACGAAAGGCGAAAAAAAATGAAAACTTTCTAAAATCAAAAACGATTTCTTGTGTTAACGTTTTGAAAGTGAGAAAAACTGAATTAGCCATTTTGTAGCCCTGACTTTGCTCTATCCTTTAGCTACGCTTCAAATTTTTTCACATCAAAAGCTACGGTGAAATAATACTTTTTCTGTCGGTTGTCGTGCATTTTTCATTAATTTTTTACATTCTGCGTATGGTGGTGCTCTCAGCAAAAGTTCCAAAACTCCACCAAAATAAAAGATTTCTTGGTCGGATTTGTTTTGTTTTTATCAGAGATGATCGCTCTTCTCTACCTAACTGTAAAATCAAAACTTGAATCATATTTTCCGTTTGTTACTTGAGCACATTGCTGGAAACGACAGGTTATCAATTTCGTCAAACGACGTATTTTCAAACTTCGTTCTCGATCACATCGTCTGCTGTAAAAACATTTTTTTACAGACCACGAGAAAGAGCGCATTCAAAAGTATAAAAAGAACGAGAAGCGTAGCAAGAGTTCTCACTTTTGCTACACTTTTTTACAGAAATAATAACAGAAGAAAATGTTCAAATGGAAAAAAATACCAAATTTAGAAAGTTTTCATTTTTTTCGCTTTTCGTATAATTTGCTTAGTTTTCTTGATTAAAGCTCTGAAATTAAAGTTTAGGTATGATTTTGTAGAGTATTTCGCCGCGTATCTTTTAGAAAAAACATTAACCTTAAGGTCTTTAAGGAACACGAGAAAAATGAAAATACTGACGGGCTCATTTTCTCTGATGCACCCGTTACTAATATAAGATACACGTATAATGGAGAAATATGTACAAAAAAAGTGTATACAATTCTCAAAATTAGTGGGAAAAGTTCTTGTTGTCTTTATTGATAATTGAGATGAACTTCATTAAACGAAAATACTATTTTTAGACATTATCATCAAATGTCTGGAGATACCGCTTTAAAATTAGTTCGTGCTATTCGTACCGGAACTGAATCATCGATGATTGATGAATTATGTTTATCTGATTCTGTAAATAATAATAATAATAATAATAATAATAATAATAACAATAATAAAACAATTATCGATATTAATATTGATGTGGTTGCTTATAAATGTTTGTGTCCGTATTCGTGTGCTGCTACTAATTGCCTTCCGCCAACAATAAAAAATATCAAATATACTCCGTGTGATCGTATTTTACCCGTAAATCTCTATCGTCATTTAAGAAATTATCATAAATTCCAATTGGCACAAGCAAAAGAGATAACACGAACGATTATGGAAACGATAAAAAAAGTTAAAAAAGAACCGAAGAAGGTAAAAAAATAATTTTAATGAAAACATCAGTATGAAATTATAATTTCATTGTTTTTTTAAACTTAGAATCATGTGCGATCGGTGAAGGAAGATAAAAGCTTCACAAGTGAAAATACTTTGTCTCCGCTAGGTAAATACATTTTAGAGACAATATTTGCATTGATCATCGGATTAAGATTTTTTTTCAATATTTTATAGTCAATTTTGATTTTAAAAAACTAAAAAAAGAAATTAAACAAGAAGTAGAAGAAAATATGAATCGACAGAATACATCAGATATCGACTGGGTGAGTGAAATCTTTTCACAAACATAAACTCGATTAATTTCTATATTTTTTCAGGATACATCGTCCGTTTCAATTGATATGAATATAGACATGGACGACGATGATGATGGATCATTATTTTTATCGTTCGAGCAAGATTTTAATGAATAATAGTGGCAAAGACACTATGTGAACTATACTTCTAACTGTTTTGTTTTATAATGTTGTTAAGTTTTGTCTCTGTGAGATGTGGATGTGTATACAGGTCAATGAGAATGTATATTTTCTTTTTGTTGGCTATCATAAATTGTTGTTTTTTTTACAACAAAAAATAAATTTTAACTCTTCTTTTTGTCCAATTAAAACTTTCGTTGTGTCAAAGACAGAAAGTACGATCTTGTTGGTGAAAACTTATTCTATAGTCTAAGTCCAGATAGATTGCCAAAAGATCAAGATGAAACAATTCTTTATTTCATTTCACGTTTAATGAGCAAGAGTTATTTAGAATACAACGAAGTGCTTCAGATCTATTTTATACAGAGTAAGACGCTCGTGTGACGCACTATAACACTTGGACAATCTCGTATTCTGTTTTAATATTTTTAAAAGCTTTTCTTTGCTTGAAATGTGTTTTTGAACATTATCGGTCTCGAATGATATGAACATTAGTCGTTGTATAGAGCTTTCCCTCATATTCTTCAATATGGTTTCTCAAGCAAAAAGCCTTAATTGTTTTTATTGCAGAATTGAAACTATCTCTATGAAGTAGGGTTTCACTTACGAGTGAACCTCCCGAGATGCCCACTTCTGATTCAAATGCTTTGTACATGGATCGATAGTAAGGTAGTAAATACCCTAAGATTATTCGAGCCCATCACTCTTGAAGACACGATTTTCTGCAAAAACCAGTTTTTCGGAAACTCTAAAAAATAACCAAAACATTTCTTAATGAGATATGATTGTGGCCTGCAAATTTCTGAATAAAATGAGACATCTTCCAGCTTTATACGATCTTTCTTTGCAAAGTTATAGAATTTACAAGAAAAGCCCTAAAATAATTTCTTATTTCTGTAGCTTTGCGGTGACAATGAACATTTAGAGCTTTTCTTGTAAATTCTATAACCTTGCAAAGAAAGGTCGTGTAGAGCTGGGAGACGTCTCATTTTAATCAGACATTTGCAGGCCACAATCATGTCTCATGAAGAAAAGGTTTTGATTATTTTTTAGAGTTTTTGCAGAAAACCGGGTCTTCAAGAGAGATGGGCCCAAATAATCTTAGGGTATTTACTACCTCACTATCGATCCATGTACAAAGCATTTGAATCGGAAGTGGGCATCTCGGAAGGTTCACTCATTAGTAACTGAACTCATCCATCGTACTTTTGAGAAAATTTATTTGCAATAACTAATCTTCGATTTTTGTGTTATATATAAATTGATACTGCATTGTTTCCAGAAGAATTAACCTTTGATTTTATTTCTAAAAGAAGAAAACTATTTCTGTTACACTTGAGTCTTTTCCTATGTGGATAGGTCGTTGTTAAGCCGACTGAGTGAACGTAGTTCACTTTGTCGGCTTATTGCTTTTCTCCAGAGTTCGCATGTTCTTCTTTCTTTCTCTACACTTTTTCCACTCGCCGTTCTCCGTTATTTCTGATCGTACAGATTTGAGAAAAAAATGATTCGAAAGTAGAAAAGTCAAAGATGACACGTCTGAACTTAGTTTTCGGGTATTTGCTTTAGTTATTCTTGAGTATATTTTTCAGAAAAGTCTATCGTTTTTTCCATGAGATAATTAATCGTCACGTGATATCGTTCGTAGTGAATCTATACTATAGTGCTTGATATGATGAAAGCTATAGCAGAATGTATGATAGGATAATGGATCAGCTGATACAATAATGTGAATAATATGTTGTAGAAGATGTTAAGGTTCTTATTCTCTTCTTAATATTTACAATTTCGTTTCTGTCTTACTTTCTTCTCACAAGCGTTCACTCACTCGGCTTCCAATCTTCGCAGAGCGTGGTTGGCATCTAGTTTTTTATGTGTTTCACCTAATTAGCGAGTTCTAAAACATATACGTTCGCCTTTTAGATGGAATAATTTTCTCGAATAATTTTAGATGGAACATTTTCTCGAACGTTTAGATACTATTTTGTCAACCGACCCATTTCAAAATGTTAATTGGCCTGGATTATCAGCAAAAGATACTGAGGTAAAGAATATAATAATGAGTTCAAGTAAGTTTTATTTTGGTTAAATTTCTCTGTTTATACTGTGTTTTTGCTCTCTCGGTATTTTTAAGCTACTTCAAGATGCTCGTGTGCATTATGCAGAAGATCGTCGACGAATACGCGAAGAAAGAAATTCAAAAAGTGTAACTATAACAGAAAAAGACTTGAATTTTTCTTACAAAATTAGTGATTTATTTTTTAGTTCGAAGAAATTATGGAAGATTTACTACAAGAATTATCGATTAAGCCAGATTTCTCATTTTTATATCAAACGCAAGAACTGGTAAGATTATATGAATATTATGAGTGACCGAGATACTCTCTATCATCAAAATAACGATTCTAGAATTCAATAACAAGTGGAAATAAATCGTCCACTATTGGTATTCCAATTGTTGAGTACGTAATTTTGATCTTAGTAGTATAATCTAAAGTATTGGTAAATATACGATATTTTTAGATCTGATACATCTGCTGATGAAGATCAACATTTATCTGAAGATGAACATTGGACAAAACAAGTTAAAGATCCAGCAAAAAGTATTGGTCATGATTCTCCCGTTAAACTGGAATTGAATACATCATCATATATGGTCTATCCACCTCTCAAATCACCATCACCACCATCCAAATCGAGCCGTAGACATCCTGTTCGTTATGTCGAACAATCAAGAAGAGATACATACACAATTGTAAATAATGACAACAAGTCATCGGAAGATAGCAGTGGTAGTGATCAAGAACACGAATCGAACAAAATCAATTATTTACGTATGGACGGCTATCCTATATAAGTTTAGCAGTACCACTAGCCAAATGATATAGAAAATTAACTGATGAGAGAACCATCCCAAGTGCCCAACTCAGTTTTCAATGATATTAAGTCTGTCGACAGAATTTGTTTTAAGAAAAGACGTAAAAGGATTTGTACCCATATAACTTCTTTCAAAAGTTATGAATCTCTTTTGCTTGCTTATAGAGAGAGTCACAGTAACACTGAAGATTTTGTATCTCAGTAAAAACAGCCATATAAAGTTAGAAACTTTGTTTTGGTGACTGTGCTGGTCATCTGCTAACATTACAGAAATATTCTGATCTTAAACTCTTCTACATAATTATGCAATTTTACTTCGTTTCGGAAATGATAAGAAAAACACCTGTGAAGATTAGTGCATATCAGAGCTCCGCATGGACTCAAAATTCTGAGCTCAGTCCACTCCAGTCCGAGTCCATAGACTCTAAAAAAGTAGTTTTTTAGTATTTTTTACCTGTTTTGTACTAATTTTTCCTCGATTCAACTGAATATAAAACTTTTTTCCGAGTCTATAGTCTTGGAAGTTTGAGTCCAGCCCAGTCCAAACGGAGCTCTGGTGCATACGATATTCAACAAAAAAATGATGATTAAAACAGAGAGTTTTTGGACACCAACTACAAGTTAGCAATGGTGCATTACCGCATGTCTTTTCAACACAAGAATTATTGTTCAACGTAAAACAGACTTCCGTGACATTTCTGCTCGTTATGTAGAAGAGTTTAAGACCAGAATATTTCTGTAATGTTAGCAGATGACCAGCACAGTCACAAAAACAAAGTTTCTAACTTTATATGGCTGTTTTTACTGAGATACAAAATCTTCAGTGTTACTGTGACTC